ATTATTCACATCGTCCTAGTTTTGTTGTCATCATTATTCACAACGTCCAATATAAAGTGTGTCGGTCCAATTGAAAAGCGAATCGTCTTTACTCTAACAAAGTATTCCTTGAACGATTTGTTTGAGCACATCTAAAGAGACTACTTGAAGATGTCTAAAACGTAAGGCGATTGTTTGCTTACATGGGCTGAGATTTGATCTGTTATGTGTGAAGACCGACATAAACCTTCTTACAGACACAGGAACATACTTACTTACTTACTTACTTAATCCTCATCACTCCCTGTGGAGTATAGGGCAACAACAAATCTCCGCCATTCCACAGGAACATACTAAATCAGAATAATTTGGGCACGGGGTCACACCAATTGGATGGGGGGGGGGGGGGGGGAATAACACCAAGGCAAATCACCGCAAAATTTAGAGTAGAAAAAAAAATACTTTTTGACAGTTTAATTAATGATTAACTAAAGTTAAAATTCGTTTAAGTACAAATAGATGATTTTGACAAAGAAGAGGGGGAGGTGTGTGTGTGTATGGGGGGGGGTGACCTACGTAATACCATGACTTAGGACAAAACAGTGTTGCATCCAGCTTTTTAAATAACTGTCCTTACATAAAGATCGTTTGTGTTCATTGTGCACAGATTACAGCTATTTCCGGGAAGGGGGGGGGGTGGGGGAGGATGACTTTCTATGAAGAGTGAAAATCTTGCCAAATGACGACACACCCGTGTCTATAGAGAACTTTCTCTGAAGTGTGAGCTAGAAAATTGACCAAGGTTTGAGTAAGATTGATGTGTGAATGTAAATTAAGGTTAACTCCTGAGTTTAGTCTAGGGTTTCTGGCTAGTACTCGGGCTGGGTAAGGTTTCCAGAGATACAAAGAATGAAATGACGTCATCTAGTCTCGGGAGGAACCGGATAGTACCCCCCCCCCTCACCCCATTGTCGCCATACCCAAGAGCGCGTGCTTTAACTCACCCCCACACAAACTCGGTTAACTGTTAACCAAACGCCGACAACTCCTGCCACGCTGAGACGGGTCTGGGTCTGGGTCGGGCTCTCCCGGGTCGACCCACAACCCACATCGCTTATCCGAAACTCGTATCGCGTGTATTCGAGCAATTCCGTCCAATTTCTGGTACCGAAAGGATCCGTTGGTGTGAGTAACGTCTGGAGGTACGTGCCTGACGCCGCGGTCTGACGGAGTGGTGATGCCGTGAACCTTGGGGTACGGGCAGATTTGATTAGCTGGGCCCCTGGACGGGCGGGGTAACCTAATAGCTGTACTGGCAGTCTGGCAGGAGAAAGATGGTCGCTGCTGTCCACGACAGACGGAATAATAATGGCGGCTGAGTTAGTTTTTTACTGGCTAGTAATGGGATGGCGTGACGGGGGATAGATGAATGGAGTTAGATGTGAGGGTAGTGTTGTGTGGGGGTGTTGTGTGAGGTGTTGCGTGGGATGTTGTGTGGGGTGTGGGGTGATGTGTGGGGTGCTGTGTAAGGTGGTGTATGGGGTGATGTGTGGTCTATGGTGTGTGGTGTGGTAGACGGGCTTTAAAAGGTAGCGTGTATTAGATTATTAGACTACAATCTACAAGTCTGGTTTATAAAGTCTGAGTTATGAAGTCTGGTTTATAAAGTCTGAGTAATGAAGTCTGGGTTATAAAGTCTGAGTTATGAAGTCTGGTTTATAAAGTCTGAGTTATGAAGTCTGAGTTATGAAGTCTGAGTTATGAAGTCTGGTTTATAAAGTCTGAGTTATGAAGTCTGAGTTATGAAGTCTGAGTTATGAAGTCTGAGTTATGAAGTCTGGTTTATAAAGTCTGAGTTATGAAGTCTGGTTTATAAAGTCTGAGTTATGAAGTCTGGGTTATAAAGTCTGAGTTATGAAGTCTGGTTTATAAAGTCTGAGTTATGAAGTCTGAGTTATGAAGTCTGAGTTATGAAGTCTGGTTTATAAAGTCTGAGTTATGAAGTCTGAGTTATGAAGTCTGAGTTATGAAGTCTGAGTTATGAAGTCTGAGTTATGAAGTCTGAGTTATGAAGTCTGGGTTATAAAGTCTGAGTTATGAAGTCTGAGTTATGAAGTCTGAGTTATGAAGTCTGGGTTATAAAGTCTGAGTTATGAAGTCTGAGTTATGAAGTCTGAGTTATGAAGTCTGAGTTATGAAGTCTGGGTTATAAAGTCTGAGTTATAAAGTCTGAGTTATGAAGTCTGAGTTATGAAGTCTGAGTTATGAAGTCTGAGTTATGAAGTCTGAGTTATGAAGTCTGAGTTATGAAGTCTGGAGTTATAAAGTCTGAGTGATGAAGTCTGGGTTATAAAGTCTGAGTTATGAAGTCTGAGTTATGAAGTCTGAGTTATGAAGTCTGAGTTATGAAGTCTGAGTTATGAAGTCTGGGTTATAAAGTCTGAGTTATGAAGTCTGGGTTATAAAGTCTGAGTTATAAAGTCTGAGTTATAAAGTCTGAGTTATAAAGTCTGAGTTATGAAGTCTGAGTTATGAAGTCTGAGTTATGAAGTCTGAGTTATGAAGTCTGAGTTATGAAGTCTGAGTTATAAAGTCTGAGTTATAAAGTCTGAGTTATGAAGTCTGAGTTATAAAGTCTGAGTTATAAAGTCTGAGTTATGAAGTCTGAGTTATGAAGTCTGAGTTATGAAGTCTGAGTTATGAAGTCTGGGTTATAAAGTCTGAGTTTTGAGACCTGACCTATTCGCATGTCTTAATCCCACTCGGACTTGAAGTCAACAGTCGACCACTTATCCTCGAGTTGTATCGCGATAGCTGAAGTCAACAATCGACCACTTATCCTCGAGTTGTATCATGATAGTTGAAGTCGTCATTGTGTAACGTGAGGTTTCCAGACCTCTGTGCCATCCACCCGACCCAGCCAATTATTTATTTAGAGAAGGATCCACTCCCCATCATATCCTAGACGTCCGTCCCACTTAGTCATTTTTGTGTAATCGAAGTTGAGACTATAATTTGCTGAGCAATTAAATTACGTGTATTAAAGTGATCGTCAATTTCTGATGTAAAATATGACCTGACTGATTCAATTACTGAAGTATTATATCTAGAAATGTCTGGGGAATTTGAAAGCTAGGCTTGTTGTAGTTGGTCATATGGTATTTGAAGTTGGAGGATAATACAGAAATCTATGTGTGGCTGTTTTAATAAAAGTATACTTTAGTGTGTGTGGGGGGGGGGGTCAGCTTCCCCATGGTATAGCTCTGGGGGTCAACATGGTACAGGAGCTTCCAACCCACGACAAGGCTCTAGCACCAGACGGCTGTACACTTAAAGACCACAGGGACAAAAATCTACAGGATTCCAGTTATTTCTGGCATCTTTCTGACACTGGGCAGGAAACAGTGCACATGTGTTGCGTAATTACAAGCTCTTAAAGCCAGTTTAAATTGGAACAAGAAAGTTGCACAATGTTTAAAACAATATACCTGTAGAAAACGTGAACTGTACATTCATTACCATGTTTGGATTACATTAGGATTTCTTTTAAATACAAAGTTCTGAGATATCAAGTAGGTACTTCTCCTAACTAACGAAGTCAGTGCGCTAATTAGTACTTCTTCTATCTCGTGAATTCAATGTGCTAATTAGTACTTTTATCTCGTAATTCAATGTGCTAATTAGTACTTTTATCTCGTAATTCAATGTGCTAATTAGTACTCCTCCTTTTTAATGCAGTCAATGCGGTAATTAGCACTTCATCTAATGAAGTCAGTGCGCTAATGAGTTCACTCAAAGTTTGTTTAACTGCTGTGTTATGGTACAAGAAACACCCTCAAGCCGCTCTAAGCGGGTAGAAAACCAAACACCATTTTTAAAACAAGTTTCGGAATTCTAGATTAAATATTTTAATTAGTTCGTTTAAAATGCTGATTCAACTAAAAAAAAAACAGACACGTTTTGTTTAAGAATGTTTGAGACTGTGTGCTTGCTTTAACCCGATCACCACCCACAAACAGTCCCAGAGACCATCTTGTTGGATGAGACTACCACATACACGTTAATGACATTTGATGTCAGGCTAAAGCTCTACAATTTTTCTCTATGGAATTTTCCTTCCCCACTAGATCCACACCCTATCCTAGTCATATCCCAGTCATATCCCAGTCATATCCCAGTCATATCCCAGTCATATCTCAGTCATATCCTAGTCATATCCCAGTCATATCCCAGTCATATCCCAGTCATATCCCAGTCATATCCCAGTCATATCCTAGTCATATCCTAGTCATATCCTAGTCATATCCCGATCATATCCTAGTCATATCCCAGTCATATCCCAGTCATATCCTAGTCATATCTCGATCATAACCCGATCATATCCCAGTCATATCCTAGTCATATCCCAGTCATATTCCAGTCATATTCCAGTCATATCCTAGTCATATCACAATTTATCTGCATGGAATCTTCCTTCTTCCGTCCCCACTAGATCCACACCCTATCCCAGCTGTATCCCAATTTATCGACACCAATTCCTACAAGGAGCAGGACATTACCACACCCTTCAACACCCCCCGCCCCCGACATTACTGTTAGATTTAAGGTTTGATGTAGGTTTAGAGTTAGTGTTAGGATTGATATTGGGGTTATGGTTAGCTATAGGTTTGTGATTGGGATTCTGGGTTAGGTTTAAGGTCAGGGTTCTTCAAAATCAGGGGAGTGGTATTTAATAGACGGGGGGGGGGGGGGTAATTGACAGCAGGGGTGTAAAGACTCCGGGGTTTAAATTTGTGGGGGGGTGGGGGGATATATGGGGGGATGGGGTAATTAACATTATCCCACATTATCCCAACCTTATCCCCACTTGATCATATCCCTCTGGACCAACCACGTAGCAAGCTTGTCCACTGGCCCACCATGTGGCCCACCCTGTGGCCCACCGTGTGGCCCAGCCTGTGGCCCATCTTGTCCACTGGCCCACCATGTGGCCCACCCTGTGGCCCACCGTGTGGCCAAGCATGTGGCCCATCTTGTCCACTGGCCCACCTTGTGGCCCACCATGTAGCCCACCTTGTGGCCCAGCCTGTGGCCCATCTTGTCCACTGGCCCACCTTGTGGCCCACCATGTAGCCCACCTTGTGGCCCAGCCTGTGGCCCACCCTGTGGCCCACCATGTGGCCCACCATATGGCCCACCTTATAGCCCACCTTATAGCCCACCATGTGGCCCACCCTGTGGCCCACCCTGTAGCCCACCTTGTGGCCCACCCTGTAGCCCACCCTGTGGCCCACCCTGTAGCCCACCCTGTGGCCCACCCTGTAGCCCACCCTGTGGCCCAGCCTGTGGCCCACCCTGTGGCCCAGCCTGTAGCCCACCCTGTGGCCCACCCTGTGGCCCACCCTGTAGCTCACCCTGTGGCCCACCCTGTAGCCCACCCTGTGGCCCAGCCTGTGGCCCACCCTGTGGCCCAGCCTGTGGCCCACCATGTGGCCCACCATGTGGCCTACCCTGTGGACCACCAGTTAACTCCTGTCAACACAATCTGATTACAGACAGTAGATTACAGTCACCTCTGGCACTAATTCCCAATCAACAGCCTCACCTTGACCTACATAACGCCTGCCCCAAACTATTTTAATGATCTTGTCTTGGCATATTCCAGGTTTTTTTTTTCTCCGTGCGTGAGTTGAGCTTGGGCGTCTTCCGTCATTCTTTTCACTTTATTTTTTTAATAAATGGTGTTTTGTTAATCAAGTCTGACATTCATTTATGAAGCTGTCACTTCTTTCATCCGCTGTGGTAATCTCATTTCCTTAACCGGGCCTTTCATGGTTCTCTGTTTTTAGTAATTGCCTTAATTGATTACTTTAATTGATTGCTTGCGTTCATTACTTGTATGCCGCTAACTTTTCAATGCTCATTTTGTAAACTCATCTTTCTGAACTCTAGTTAGGATTATTTCTTAAACTATTAGAATCATCGCATAGAGTTAAACTCTTTACCAGCTCATTGTTTGAACTATTACAATCAGCTCATTGAGCTAAACTCTTCCCCACGGCTCATTGAGCTAAACACATAAAGCAGGTCAATCAGCTTATTTCTCCGTGGTAGGTTCTAGCTCAATAATATCACCTGAAAGTAGGTATTGTTTTTTATGAGAAGAAACGGCACCACGATCCCCCACTGCAAAAGTAAACATGAGTTGTATCGGCACCACGATCCCCCAATTTACGAACTTAACATTTGTTGTAGTGTTAAAAAAATGGGACGATATCGAAGTAGAAGTGAACCCCTGACTTTCGGGCTAGTAGGCACGCATTTTACCGCTTGGCCACGCGTGCTTTGGCACCTACTAACTAGTTAACTTTAAGAATTCAAGGCTGGGTACAATTTAGTCTAAGTGTACCAATCCACAACCTACCACAATCTTTATCTGTGTTGGGCGTTGTTTTTTTTTTACGCAAAACGATTTTACATCGATTCGCCAGGACCAAAAAAAAATTTGCTCGTCAACCAGTTAATCAGATATCCTCCAAAATGCATACTTGTTTACAGAACAGATCCATAAAAACATCCATTTTTTCATCCGATTTATCTGAGAATGTGGCCTCACGTAGATCACAAGCACTCGCTGATTACACCGAGGCGACTGAGATTGTTTCTTTAAAGAATTGATTTGATCAGCTACTGAACCGTGCAAAGATTGACCTCGTGCGGTCAAACAATGTTCAACCAATCCCCGAGTCTGTTCATCCATCCCATGGTGGGTCGGGGACTGACCCTTGTCTAGAGGGGCGGGGAGATTCAGTTGAACTCGTGGTGGCAACGTTGTAGGGTCCACCTGAACAGAATACCGTCTAATTTCGTATAATTTGATTTCTGAGGCTATCATCCTCCTGGTTCTATGAATCTAACACGATTTGGTTCTAAGTTTGTAAGCTTGTAGCGTTCTGATATTCTTCTTCTCTGTTTCTCTGTTCTTGATGTAAAATCGGAAAATTTCCTGCAAACAAAATTATGCGTCTTCAACCCTTTCCCTTCAATGTTGGCCTCCATTGTTTGGATGCTGTACTTCGACAGACTTATAGATGTAATTATATTTTGATGATTAATGGGCTGCTGTCCCTAATGGCTGTAATTTGGTTCGAAGATCTCTCTTCATAATGGGATGCTGTTCAGACTTAACGAGCCTCGTCTGCTAGGGGTTCGAACTCTGGACTTTCGAGGTGATAACCTGCGCCCTACCAGCCGTGCATACATCCATCTTTCTACGATTCCTGAGTTCGATTGTCCAATTGTTTTAATGTCTAAAATGTCTAATGTCCAAAAGTTCTAATGTCTAAAAGTTCTAATGTCTAAAAGTTCTAATGTCCAAATTTTCTAATGTCTAAAAGTTCTAATGTCCAAATGTTCTAATGTCCAAAAATTTTTATTTAAAATTAAAAAAAAATTATTGAATTTTTAACACTACTGCCAAAAGATTAGTTTCATCGGTCATGATTAGGACGGCCTTGGACTAACTTATGTTTCATTTTTTTTCTTCCAACTGTTGCACCACAGGAAACAAAGTAATAGTTTTCAGCATCTTCCATTAGTTCCCTTAAAGCTGACTAGAGTGCATGTGTCTGTAGAGAGTAGCTTGACCTTTGACCTCTCATCTAAAAGGTTCTGTGACAACTGCTGACTAAACTAAAGTACAATTTACTCAAACTTTACACTTTTCTTCAGTTCTCTCATTGGGTTCTGTTTTTTTTTGTTTGAAAACCTTCAGAATTTCCCGATCAACTTTCGTGTTTACCCAATAGTTCGCCTTTCACATTCACTTAGGCAAAAAAAGAAGTGTCCTGATATCTTGACTCAAAGTATGATTACATCTTCTGTTATGTGAGAAAAGTTCAAGTAAATCAAGATAAGATGTCAAGACATTTTGACAATTTTTTTATAAGAGGAACAAAGTTTGTAATCCTTTAAAAAATGTTAGCCAACAATTCCAATGTGTGTTTGTGTATTGTGTGTGTGTGTGTTTGAGCAGAGCGTGGATACTTCAGGGTAAGGGTCAAGGTTACTCGTTGCTAAACTAGTTCATACATCGCCGCGAATGGGATGCTTCCGGTAACATGAATCATCCAACGGGTACTAAACTTTAAACGCAACGCCTTAAATTCTATCACTAAACACAACACCTTAAATTCTATCACTAAACACAACGCCTTAAATTATATCACTAAACACTATGAAACTTTAGACAGGTAAACACCAAACCATAGATTCAGCCATACTTGATGAAACATATTTTAGCTTAAAATAGTATGGTCACCGTCATACTACCCGCAGAACTGTTCATTTGGAAAAAAGGACTGGTTATCACGACATTTCACAGAACATCGATTTGATGAGCCTAGTTGTGTAGATCAAGGGAGGGGGGGGGGGGGGGGGGGGGCGACACCCTGATGAAACGTTATCTGTTGAGTTCATCAAAGTTTAAGTGTAGTAATCTCGCATCTATGCATCAAAGTGTGCAACAAAACATCCATACATCAAAGTTTACAGATGTAATCTCAAACCCTTACTAGAAAGTTACAGATATAATCTCAAATCCTTACATCAAAGTTTACAGATGTAACATAAAACCCTTACATCAAAGTTTACAGATGTAACATAAAACCCTTACATCAAAGTTTACAGATGTAACATAAAACCCTTACATCAAAGTTTACAGATGTAACATAAAACCCTTACATCAAAGTTTACAGATGTAACATAAAACCCTTACATCAAAGTTTACAGATGTAACATAAAACCCTTACATCAAAGTTTACAGATGTAACATAAAACCCTTACATCAAAGTTTGCAGACGTTACCACAAACCAATACACTTACAGATGTAGGCTCAAACCGTTACATCAAAGTTTACAGGTTTTTCAAGAAATCTGAATCAATAATTTTATCTCAGCATTTATAAAAAAAACTTTTACCTTTTATTGTTTGGAAGAAAGGAATCAAAGTTCAGAAGCTTCAAATTCTTCAACGGCTTTTCGTAACTGGTTGTTGGATTAAGGGGTTTATTGATTTGTTTTGATAAATATTTCAACCGGACGTGAAGGTTGAATGTGCACCTATTTGTTCCGTCTACTTGAAGGAACTGCACCTTTTCATGATTCGGCTGCTTGTAGGGGTGTAGTAGTTTAACATGTGTGGACTATAGTGGTTTAACGTGTGGAGAATTTATCAATTTAACTTATGGGATGAAGCAGTTTAACATCTCCCACACATAGCCCCTCCCACACATAGCCCCTCCCACACATAGCCCCTCCCACACATAGCCCCTCCCACACATAGCCCCTCCCACACATAGCCCCTCCCACATATAGCCCCTCCCACAAATAGCCCCTCCCAAACAGGACTTCCCCCACACAAAGCCCCTCCACACATAGCACCTCCCACACATTGCCACTCCCACACATAGCCCCTCCCACACATAGCCACTCCCAAACAGGACCTCCCCCACACATTACCTCTCCCACACAAAACTCGTCCCACACAGAACTTCTCTCACACATGAGATGTTATACGCCACATATCCCTGGCTCATAATCTACCCTTATTACTTTCCATACTACACTGTTGTTGTGTGACAGACTAAAACCTTACCCTCAAAATGTGACACACTAAAATCTGACCCTCACAATGTGACTGACTTCGTTACCTTAGAAACCCTAGATACAACACACACAAAAACCGGAAATATCCCATCTATTTATAGACGAGTTACGACCAGCTAATCTAACTATCGGGAAACCCCGAGAAATGAGTGAAACCTACCTATTGGCACCAAATTAAAACTCTGACGGCACGTGCCGTTTCTGGCTTAGAGGGGATCTCAAGCTGGTCACTAATTGCTGACAGTGGCCTCACGTCACACAGGTGCTTACTTAAGTCCTCTTTTACGTAAGTTACGTATGTAGAGATGTCTGATTTCAGTTTATTCTGAAGAATATTAAGAGGTGATCACACAAATTAAATTGTACCGTAACAGGGAATATGCATATTATATATATATATATAAATATATATATATATATATATATATATATATATATATATAGGCCTATATATATATATATATATATATATATATATATATATATATATATATATATATATATATAAAAGTAAATACATATAGATATAAGCCTATATATATATATATAGGCCTATATATATATGTATTTACTTATACATTATGCATATACAGTTCGACCATATATCGAGATGTGCCAATGAAGACAGACACCCTATACCCCGAAGATTGCATCAAATGGAAATAGAAAGCGTGTGGGATCTCCCATTCCTCGATAAGCTAAGAGATTTATGGAAATTGAATGTTGTGATAAAGGCCCATGATTTCCTTATAGCTGACTGCTGGAATGCGCTGTTGAATGTTTATTGAGGCAAAGAGTTGCTGCTCTTGTCTTGCCCAGAGTCGCATGAAACCGTTCGGACATTTATCAGGAAAGATAACTCGGTAATTAAATCGGTTTTATT